GGTCCCTAGAATCTGAGAGAGTGTTTTCCAGGTCTTTTTTATATCTCCTCTAGTGTCTGTGAATCTACTGGTGTAGTATAGTTGTTTGGCTTTCTTTATTACTTTGGTGAGAACTGATGAATAGTGTTTAAGAATATCTTTGTGTATTAAGCCCTGTCTATATTGCTTTTCATATTGGTGTTTCTTATCAATGGATTTCAGAATGCTGCTGGTTAGCCAAGGGCAACCAAGCCGTTTGTTTGTGATCTGTTTCGTTTTTATAGGACAATGTTTGTTGTATAGTCTAAGTAATTTGTTAAGAAAAATGTCTGTCCAGTCATCAATACCATTGGCCTTGGAGAATTCTGTAGGCCAGTCAACAGTCTCTAGGTCAGCTGTGAACTTCCTTATTGAGGCCTCGTCGTGGAGTCTAAATGAGACTTTGTTGTATTCAAGTGGTGGTTTACTAATGTTTGTCAGGAGGAAGGTAGGGTAGTGGTCTGTAGTGCTATCTGTGATTATCCCTGATTTAAGGGGGGCTAGTATATTGGTCCATATGTGGTCTATTATGGTTGCACTTGTCTCAGTGAGCCTGGTTGGTTTAGTTATTGTTGGTATGAGAAGTGTGTTGTTCATATTGTTGATGAAATCAGTTACAGGCTGATCATCTAGTAAGCCAAGGTTGATGTTGAAGTCTCCAGCTAAGAGAAGGTGGTGCTTATTCATTTGTCTGTTTGTTATTAGTGACTTTAATTTCTCACTGAAATTTGGGATGTTTGTGTGAGGTATCCGGTAAATGGCACCGATTGTTATAGGTGTTTTAAGGTTTTTTACAGTAAAATTAGCAAAAATGTATTCGAAGAATTGAGACACTTATGCAACACATGGGAATCTTTATTGAAGAAACGTTTCGCCACACAGTGGCTTCATCAGTCCAATACAAAGTAGAAGTGGGTAAGGAGAGTAGAAGTTTGAGGTAATCAGTCCCTCAACCTGGAATCGATGTGTTCAGTCCATCACTCTCGTAGGAAGTGCAGCATAGGGCCAGAGAGGTGGCTTATATACTGCGGTGAAATGAGTTGAAGCAGGAGGAGGCGGGATCACAGTGGGACCTGCCACTAGTGTAAGTAGGTCGTCGTCCAAAGGTTGGGCAAGCGTTGAAGTCTTTGTACCAAGACCCCATGATGTTGCAGTGTCTGACAAATGTGATGAATGGTTATGAAAACCGACAAGTTGAAGAATTGAGACACTTATGCAACACATGGGAATCTTTATTGAAGAAACGTTTCGCCACACAGTGGCTTCATCAGTCCAATACAACTTGTTGGTTTTCATAACCATTCATCACATTTGTCAGACACTGCAACATCATGGGGTCTTGGTACAAAGACTTCAATGCTTGCCCAACCTTTGGACAACGACCTACTTACACTAGTGGCAGGTCCCACTGTGATTCCGCCTCCTCCTGCTTCAACTCATCTCACCGCAGTATATAAGCCACCTCTCTGGCCCTATGCTGCACTTCCTACAAGAGTGATGGACTGAACACATCGATTCCAGGTTGAGGGACTGATTACCTCAAACTTCTACTCTCCTTACCCACTTCTACTTTGTATTGGACTGATGAAGCCACTGTGTGGCGAAACGTTTCTTCAATAAGGATTCCCATGTGTTGCATAAGTGTCTCAATTCTTCAACTTGTTGGTTTTCATAACCATTCATCACACAAAAATGTATTCCCCTTATTCATCACTAAAGCAAGTGGTGCTAATACAAGATAATTGGTTAGAGTAATAGATTGCAATACCACCCCCAACTTGGTTTGGTCTGCAGTTGTGAATTGCTGTGTATCCTGGTAGAGGGTAGATATCTTTGACAAGATCCTGGATGCTATATAGAATAAACAAAATGCAGATGTAGTATACAGAGACTTTGCTAAAACCTTTGACAAGTGTGACCATGGTGTAATAGTGCACAGAATGCATGATAAGGGAATAACAAGAAAAGTTGGTAAATGGATCTATGACTTCCTAGCAAATGGAACACAAAGAGTAAGAGTAAACAGAGTAAAGTCCAAGGCAGCTACAGTGAAGAGCTCTGTTCCACAAGGCACAGTACTTGCTCCCATTCTATTTCTCATCCTCATATCTGACATAGCTAGAGATGTAAGCCATAGCTCCGTGTCTTCCTTTGCGGATGACACCCGAATTGCCATGACAGTGTCCTCCATCAAAGACAACTCAAGACTCCAAGAGGACATCAACCAAACCTTCAAATGGGCCACTCAAAACAATATGATATTCAATGAAAAGAAATTTCAACTACTCAGATATGGAAAACATGATGAAATTAAAACTGTATCAGGGTATACAACAAATTCTAACCATACACTAGAGCAAAAAAGTAATGTGAAGGATCTGGGAGTGATATGTCAAAGGATCTCACCTTCAAGGACCACAACAATGTATTTATCGCATCTGCTAGAAAAATGAGAGGATAGATAATGAGAAACTTCAAAACAAGGGACACCAAGCCCATGTTGATTCTCTTCAAATTGGTTGTTCTCTCTAGGCTGGAATACTGCCGTACACTAAATCCCCCTTTCAAGGTAGGCAAAATTGCTGACCTGGAGAGTGTACAAAGAACTTTCACAGCACATGTAAGTATGATAGGCACCTAAATTACTGGGAATGGCTGAAGTCCCTTGATTTATATTCCCTGAAACTCAGGCAAGAGAGATACATGATAATATACACTTCAAAAATCCTAGAGGGATTAGTACCAAATCTGCACACGAAAATCACTCCCTATGAAAGCAAAAGACTCGGCAGGAGATACAACATTCCCCCAATGAAAAGCAGGGGCTTTTCACACACAATAAGTGTCCGGGGCCCCGAGACTGTTCAACTGCCTCCCACCATACATAAAGGGGATTACCAGTAGACCTCTGGCTGTCTTCAAGAAGGCACTGGACAGGCACCTAAAGTCAGTACCTGATCAGCTGGGCTGTGGTTCGTATGTCGGTTTGTGTGCAGCCAGCAGTAACAGCCTGGTTGATCAGACCCTGATCTATCACGAGCCCTGGTCTCAGACTAGGCAGTGGGGGCGTTGACCCCCGAAACCCTTTCCAGGTATACTCCAGGTATACTACTTTCGTGCTTTGTGGCCATTAATAAAGAAAATTAAGGCTTATTTTCTGGCCACGGTTAACCACGGATAACTGAAATCATGGATAACAAATCTGCAGTATCATGGGATACCTACGAAACTAGGTGTTCCATGTTTTACGAATACCGTCCTCAGATCTAAAGATATGGTAGACCGTTATATTACACAATTTTATTTGGCACATTTCAGTTATTACACTGTTGAAAAATTGCAGCACAATTTTATACAACACTTTATAAAATTAACTTAACACGGCTCGGTTTGTGGGAGGGGAAAAAATTTGGAGCGTCACTCTAAGAATCCTCGTGTTTTGAAAGGTGAAGATAAAAACACCTTTCCAGTAATTTGGAAATCAAACCAGTCAGCTTGGATGATAGAGGAAATATTTATTGACTAGTTTAAGCATCATTTTATTCCTGAAGTCAAGTTTTACCTGCACATCAAGAACCTTGCATTCAAGGCTCTTCGTTCTTGATAATTCCCATACTCATCCACAAGCTTTGCTGGATGTGACCCCACATGTAAAAGTTGTAGTTTTACCTCCAATTGCAACATCTTTAATACGACTACTGTATCGGCGAGTTATTAAGTCATTTAAGTGTAACTACACAAGAAGAGTTACGAAAAAACTAGTTGCATCAGTGGACTCTGACTCCTACCTGGCAGTACCAAGCTTCTGGAATAAATTTAACATTGCAGATGCCATCAGCTATGCTAGAAGTGCATTGAGTGATGTGCCCCAGTCAACATTAAATGCAGGCTGGTATTATGCCAGCAGATTTAATGATATCATACACATGAAAAATACCTGGAAAATCCATCTCTGAAATCCTGGTCTCTCAAAAACCATCCAAAAACCAGATATAAACCTAACTAAACCAATATAGACCTAACTAAAGGAGATATAGGCATAACTAAACTAATATAGCTCTAACTAAAGCAGATGTAGACCTCATTAAACCAATATAGACCAAACTAAACCAGATATAGACCTACTTAAACCAGATAATGACCTACTTAAACCAGAAAATGACCTAACTAAACCAGATAAACCAGTCTGCAGACACAGCTAACAATAAATAATTTCTTTTTGACTATAGGATCAAAACTAGCTAGTAACTTGTCCTGTTTCCTGACAAACCTAACCTAACCTAGGTAGCAACCTATCCTGTTTTTCAACAAACCTAACCTAACCTAGCTAGTAACCTGTCCTTTTCCTGACAAACCTAACCTAACCTAGCTAGTAACCTGTCCTGTTTCCTGACAAACCTAACCTAACCTAGCTAGGAAAGTCCCATTTTCAAACACTTAGACGAGTGACAACCTTACTAGAAATGATCTAAACTCACTATAACTAACTCCAACTAATCCTACTAAGGTCTCACTTGAAATAAACTAACTACAAAACTAATTTATCTCCAACTGTGTACAAAAACCTAACTCATGTACTGACAACAAGTGTTGCAACTCACATCATTAAGTTAATTGAATTTGTAACTGTCCCATTGATCATTTGTTTCAAATCTTGTTCCATTATGTTTCTACTACAACTTAGTAAGTTGACCTATCATCAGGCAGTATTATAAGTTAGTAACTTACTGTATCATCACTCACTATTATAACTAAGTTACTGTACCATTGTTCATGCACTACCTTACTTTTTATACAGATAATAGTTCTTGACTGTACTAGAAATCCTAGTTAATAGTTTGTATCTAATAGTAAACTAGTCTAGTAATTGTATTTTGTACCTGATGATGTTTTAATACTTGTATATTGCTGTATTTTGTGATGTGTAATGAGTAATATAGTTTATTTGTGTCTCAGTTCTAACTACTGACTGTTCATCACAGTTATGATTCGCGGTCAGAAGTACCCCGGTCATGGATCAGCGAGAGGGTCCTGGGGTCAAGAGCTAGTGCCCAGTTCTTCCCAGACTCCAAGATACACTACCTACAGTTAGAAGATGTCCAGAAGACTGACAGTGGACTGTACAGTTGTAGGGTAGACTACAGGAGGTCCCCCACTCAGAGAGCTAAGATCAACCTTACAGTTATTGGTCTGTACCAGTTATATTACACTTGTTAACATCTTCTATATACAGTCACTTCTCTTATAAAGCTCCTCTATATACAGTCACTTCTCTTACAATGATCATTGTATAGTGTGATTTTTAATGACCATCGTATAGTAGATAGATTTCAAAACCCCACTAATGACGTTGCTCTGGTCCACCAGTTCCACCCGGTGTACCGACAGTCCTTCAAGACGATGGGACACAGGTGGACCACACTCTTGGTCCGTACAACCAGGGATCCCTAATAAACATCACCTGTCAGGTGGTGGGAGGTATGCTATACCAGCCTCTGCTTCCAAGGACCAGGAGTTGTAGTCTAATAATTGCAGTAGACTTGCCATCTATCATGGTCTATTAGCAGATAGCTTTGTCTCTCATACATTGTATAATCATACTGTGTATATATTTTTGAAGTATATATTTTGTATATTTGAAGTATTTTCAACATATTTGATCTTTGAAATAGATTTAGATTTAAGATATAACATATACAATGTTTTGTATATCTTCATGTATACACTGAGAGGTGTGTATAATGCAGTATATACACAGTGGTGTATATCTCTCACTTTATACACACTCAGTTATTAGACAGCTGTATATGTGTATATATGTATATAATGTGCAAAACAACCACAGGGGGAGTTGAATGATAGCTGTAGGCCTTTCATGTTGCAATCAACACATCATCAGGAGCTTGCAGTGTTGCAGAAAAGAGGAGGATGTCCAAGCAAATACAATCACCTTAAGCACCTTGCAGGGTGCTTCCTGTGATTGTATTTGCTTGGACCTCCTCCTCTTTTCTGCAACATTACAAGCTCCTAATGATGTATTGATTGCAACACAAAAGGCCTAGAGTTATCATTCAACTCCCCCCATGGTTTTTCATTTTGTATCGCCTGTTCACGATATTTGCACATGTATAATATTTCCTCCGCACCCCAGGTGATCCTCCCCCACAGTTAACGTGGTGGCAGGGAGAGAAGTTACTTGACGGGGACACAGAGAGTGCAGGAGGGGGAGTGTACCGCAATACTCTAACTGTTGGACCACTCACCAGGGACCATCTCAACAACTTCTACGCTTGTCAGGCCTTTAACACCGACCTTATTGCTCCTCTCAGCAAGGCTGTTACTCTGGATGTTAATTGTGAGTGTGTAGAGTGTGTAGAATGTGTAGAATATGTGTAGAGTGTATGTAGAGTGTATGTAGAGAGTATACATAGAGCATATCATGTGCATAGAGTGTGTATATCAAGTGTGTTGTGTGTGTAGTGTGCATCATGTGTGTAGAGTGTATGTAGACTGTAGAGTGTGTGTAGTGTGTAGAATGTGTGTAGAGTGTATGTAGAGTGTGTGTAGTGTGTACATAGAGTGCATCATGTGTGCAGAGCATGTACATCATGTGTTGTGTGTGTACTGTGTCAATACAGTGGGTCATGTGTATAGTGTGTGTCATGTGTGTGGTGTGTGTGTATACCAGGGGTGGGCAACATCTTCAATAAGATGAGCCACATACATCACTTTACATACATTTTTGAATGTTCAAGAACCACAGAAAATATTTTTGATATCAATACCCTTTGTGGCTTCCTTTTAGCCTATCAGATCTAAGAATTCTTTCACATTTGCATCATTTGTAACCTAACTGAGGGATATCTTGAATGTCTGTAGATTCATCCAGTGCTAAGCTGAAAGCATTGCAGTTTGTCAGATCACTCTGCAGTGAACACACAATTGTAGAACAACTTTCAGAAATGCGTCTCTCAGTAGCACAGCAGGAGATAGGGATTTGTTCTATTGCCTGTTTAAGTTTTGAGTTCTCTGGAATGAGAATTACAGTCACATTACTAATATTCTGTTTTACAAATTCTCCATGACTTAGAGCAATATTCTAAGCTATAACAAAACTAGCTTCAGTAGCCAAGTCATTTTCCTTACAGAGGGAAAATTGGCTCTTCTGTTTAGCGACTAAATTAGATTTAAAATTTTTTATCTATTTTATCGCAGTTCGGATTCAGAAGGAAATTCAGATGCAAATTTTTTATGGTCACACTCATAGTGATGCTTTAATTACTGGCTTTCAAGTGGCTGGTGTTGTATGACACATAAGGCACACAGCCTTTTAACCTTTAACAGTAAAAGCAAAATCATCCTCCCATAGTTTGTTAAACACTCTCATTTCTTGTTTGTATTTCCATTTTGTATTCTTTTGTTGCTTGGTCATTCTAAACAAGGGTTTTATAACTTTATCTAAAATCAGTCTTAAATATTTATTAATCAGAAAAGTACTTCTGTACACTGCCCGACACTAGTTATGTTCCACTACCACCCCAAGAGTGTAACTTGTGTGTACTGTATGGAGAGTAATGGTGCAGAGTCCAATCATCATCCATGCTTATTTAAAACATTTTTTGATTATGTTCAGCCAGTTTAAACAGCAGTTTGGACACAGTGCATATGGATGTTTGAAAAGATAATGTAAATTACTTGTATTTTTTTTTTTTTTTAACAAGTTGGCCGTCTCCCACCAAGGCAGGGTGACCCAAAAAGAAAGAAAAATCCCCTAAAAGAAAATACTTTCATCATCATTCAACACTTTCACTTCACTCACACATAATCACTGTTTTTGCAGAGGTGCTCAAAACACAACAGTTTATAAAGATACACAACATATCCCTCCAAACTGCCAATATCACAAACCCCTCCTTTAGAGTGCAGGCAACATTGTACTTCCCATTTCCAGGACTCAAGTCTGGCTATATAAAAATAACTGGTTTCCCTGAATCCCTTCACTAAATACTATCCTGCTCACACTCCAACAGCTCGTCAGGTCCCAAATACCATTCAACTCCATTCACTCCTATCTAACACGCTCACGAACGCTTGCTGGAAGTCCAAGCCCCTCGCCCACAAAACTGCCTTTACCCCTTCCCTCCAACCTTTTCTAGGATGACCCCTACCCCACCTTCCTTTCCCTACAGATTTATACGCTTTCCGTGTCATTCTACTTTGATCCATTCTCTTTAAATGACCAAACCACCTCAACAACCCCTCTTCATCCCTCTGACTAATACTTTCATTAACTCCACACCTTCTCCTAATTTCCACACTCCAAATTTTCTGCATAATATTTACACCACACATTGCCCTTAGGACATCACTGCCTCCAACCGTCTCCTCGCTGCAGCATTTGCAACCCAAGCTTCACACCCATATAAGAGTCTTGGTACCACTATACTTTCATACATTCCCTTCCTTGACTCCATAGATAACATTTTTTGTCTCCACATATACCTCAATGTACCACTCACCTTTTTTCCTTCATCAATTCTATGATTAACCTCATCCTTCATAAATCCATCCGCTGACACGTCAAGTCCCAAATATCTGAAAACATTCACTTCTTCCATACTCCTCCTCTCCAATTTGATATCCAATTTTTCTTTACCTAAATCATTTGATACCCTCATCACCTTACTCTTTTCTATGTTCACTTTCAACTTTCTACCTTTACACACTCTCCCAAACTCATCCACCAAGCTTTGCAATTTCTCTCTAGAATCTCCCTTAAGCACAGTATCATCAGCAAAAAGTAACTGTGTCAATTCCCATTTTGTATTTGATTCCCCATAATTTAATCCCACTCCTCTCCCAAACACCCTAGCATTTACTTCTTTTAGAACCTCATCTGTAAATATATTAAACAACCATGGTGACATTACACATCTCTGTCTAAGACCTTCTTTTACCTGGAAGTTGTCTCCCTCTCTTATACACACCCTAACCTGAGTCTCACTATCCTCATAAAAAACTCTTTACAGCTTTTAGTAACTTACCACCTATTCCATATACAGTGGTCCCTCATTTTTCGTAATTAATCCGTTCCTGGAGCTGTTACTATAAACAAAATTTACGATTTACGAATCAATTTTCCCCATAAGAAATAATGTAAATACAATTAATCCGTTCCTGACACCCAGAAGTATTAAGACAAAAAAATTTTTTACATGAAATATAGATGTAGTACATAAACAATACAATGGGAAATGATGAATGAAACATTAACAGCATAACACTTACCTTTATTGGAGATTCTTCTTAGTGTATGGGAGACTGGAGAAGGAGAGAGAGTGGATTGTTTATAGTTTGGAAGGGGAATCCCCTTCCAGCAACACCTCAGGTACCAATTGCTTTTCTGGGGTTGCTTGTCTTCTCTGTTTCTTAATGCGGAGAGAGCTCTGTTTCTGGCGTCTCTTTAACACTTCCCTAAAATGGCCCAATATGGCTTGCAATATGGCTTGCAACAACCTTGTTAGGGTGACGTTTCTCCATAAAGCTTTCCATCTTACCCCACATAGTAAAAATCTCTTTAATTTCTGAAGAAGGCACCTTCTTCCATCTCTCTTCCTCCTCCTCTGCAGCAAGATTCTGAGCTGCGATGTGTTGCTCTTCCTGCTGAAGCTCTTGCAGCTCCTCAGGGGTGAGCTCTTCATTGTGGCCTTCCACCAATTCTTCCACATCCTCCAAACTCACATCCAACCCCATGGAACTCCCCAGTGCCACAATTGATTTTACAACAGACATAGGCTCATCAGGGTCAGTCCCAAACCCTTCAAAATCCCTCTTGTCGACACAATCTGGCCACAATTTTCTCCAGGCAGAGTTCAAAGTCCTGGTAGTCACTCCCTCCCAAGCCATACCTATAAGGCTTATGCAATGGAGGATGCTGAAGTGCTCTCTCCAAAATTCCCTTAGGGTCAAGTGAGTGTCTGTGGTCACAGTCAAGCACCTGTGAAACATTGCTTTTGTGTAAAGTTTTTTAAAGTTTGCAATGACCTGCTGGTCCATGGGCTGGAGGAGAGGAGTGGTATTCGGGGGCAAGAACTTTACTGTGATGAACCCAAACTCCTCGAAAATTAGGTCATCCAAGTTTGGAGGATGAGCAGGTGCATTGTCCATTACTAGCAGGCACTTGAGATCCAATTTCTTTTCCAGGAGATACTCCTTCACACTAGGGCCAAACACTTCATTGAACCACTCGACGAAAATTTCCCTCGTGACCCATGCCTTACATTTAGATTTCCAAAACACACACAATTTACTCTTCATAACATTGTTTTTCCTGAACACTCTGGGATTTTCAGAATGGTACACTAGTAATGGCTTCACTTTGAAATCCCCACTAGCATTAGCACAGAACATTAGCGTCAGCCTGTCTTTCATAGGCTTGTGTCCTGGCATTGCCTTTTCCTCTTGTGTAATGAAGGTCCTCTTTGGCATTTTCTTCCAAAAGAGGCCTGTTTCGTCACAATTGAACACTTGTTCAGGTTTCAGTCCTTCAGCCTCTGTGTACTCCTGGAATTCATGCACATATTTTTCAGCCGCCTTGTGGTCCGAACTGGCAGCCTCACCATGCCTTACCACACTGTGTATGCCAGTATGGTTCTTAAATCTCTCAAACCAGCCTTTGCTGGCCTTAAATTCACTCACATCACCACTATTTGCAGGCAATTTCTTTACCAAATCTTCATGCAACTGCCTAGCCTTTTCACAAATAATCGAAGTCATAAGAGTATATCCTGCTAATTGTTTCTCATTTATCCACACCAATAATAACTTCTCAACCTCTTCGAGCACTGGTGATCTCATTTTTGTCAGCATAGTTACCCCCTTTGCAACAACAGCATCCTTTATTTCCTTTTTCTTGGCCACTATGGAACATAAGGTTGTGTAGGGTTTCTTATGCATCCTGGACAGTTCGGCCACACTTGTACCACTTTCATATTGTTCAATGATGGTTTTCTTAAATTCAATCGTATTTCTCACCTTCTTTACCACAGGCTTGGCACTAGGAGCTTTCTTTGGAGCCATGGTAGCTTATTTAGTACTTGCAAGCACTAAAATAAATGGAATATTATGAAATATTTCGCTGGAGCACGTGAGGGGACCTTTGCTCACTGATAAACAATGCCAGACTGGCTGCCGCCACAGCTCACACCGTGGGTACGCGTCCGGGATGAATTACAACTCGCGAGTCAACTTATGAAAAGCGAGTCCATGTTTATACGAAAATAACCCTATGATTGGCGAAATTTACGATTGCTGGGAACTACGAAAGCGAGGGACCACTGTACTTGCAACATCTGC